GCTACCAGAGACGGCCGCCGGGAAGCCCGCGCGGACGGCGGTGAAGGTGGCGGCGGGGATCTCGGCGCTCCTCCCCCTCTTGGAGGCCCGTGGTTCCTGGGGCGGCGGCCCTTGCCGGAGAGGCGACGTCGTCGGGCGGTGGGCGGCGTTCGCAGCGATCGGGCATCAAATCTGCATTAAGCAGTACTTAACAGTGAGTGGGCGAGGCTTCCTCTCATTGTGTTCCTCTCGCTTGTAAAAGGACTAGAGAGCACCAACAGTACTAGGATTCCTAGCTAACCACAGTGAGTGGGCGACACTTCCTCTCATTGTGTTCCTCTCCAATGATTGATCCATGTAATTTAAGTTGCTTTGAACTATTTGAGGGGCCGGCGACGGGTACGTCGATGGCCGTCGCCATGATTAATGTGCTGACCCTCAAGGGGAGATTACGCTGCAAAGCTGCTTGCTGAGTGAATGGGGAAATTCACTAAATTTTGGTGATTTCAGTTAGTGCTGTTTTTTTTTGTTTGGAACTGAAAGTGAAGACCAGTTATCGTAAGGCTCGTTCATCTTACTCTCGAAAATAGGCTCATCTTGCTTTCTAGATAAATCCATATGGCAGAACGATACAAAATATTGGGGAGAATGTTTATGGAGTTGAACCAATAATTCTAAATACAAAGCACACGAGTGGCAGAAATCACGACAAGGAGTGCCAAAGGAAGGCGCCAATCTCACGTTCCCTGGATGCAAATAAAGGGCTTCGTCGTAATGTCACCGACGAACTGATGCCAAAATGGTCTCTCTCCCTTCTCACTCCGGGCCGTGGAGCATTTTTCCTGTCGACGAGCAGAAAGGACAATGCTATTTTTTTCTATGAAGAAGGCCTGGATCTATTAAAAAAACCATTGGAAGTACAAAAACATCCCAAACATAATAAAAATTACATCGAGATCATTGGACCAACGAGCGATTACTACGACAGAAGGAGCCGCCGAGGTGTTGCTGTCGCCAGTCCTTTATTTGAGCCGGCCGTACCGTGTCAATTATAGTTTGGTAGTCTTCGTGCATGTGCCCCTAAATACCAGTGCCCTCGAGCTATAGTCATCATTGTCGAACCCATGAATCAGCCTGAAGCACCTAACATCATATTGTGTCGTTGCGAGTGCATGGGGAGAAAGCCTAAACTCACTGCCCCAAGGACACGGTAATATTCTACACCGGAACTCCGTTGACTTCAACCCGATGGACGAATTCGAGCAAGATCAAAGCCCGAAAGACCAACTCAAAGATGAGACACTGCCAGCCTCCTGAATGCCTCCTCTATGAGAAAGAAGAAACCTAATCTTCTGAACATCGTCTCTAGATGAATCATCGAGCAAGTGGATTTTTGGTACCTCGTGGGCTGAAATACTTAATACTTGCTCTGATCTATATTACTTGTCGCTGAAATGGGTGTATCTAGACGTATTTCAATGCTAGATACACCTGTTTGAGCGACAAGTAATATGCATCAGTGGGGGTAATAAGTAATCTTATGCGAGAAGTGCAAGCGTTCTTTAAAAAAAATCTTTGTGCTCATGGCCTTTCTACAGTTCAAATATCTTATTAATTAATGGAAAGGATTTCCTTTTGTCAAGTTTTGCAAAGAAAACAAACTAGGAGGTCATGTTAGCTCAACCTACTAGAGTAAAATGTAAATTGCTTAATAAGAGGTCAAGTAACCAAACTATCGTTCTAATCCCGAGACCAAATGCTCCTGCTGTGAATAGTAAAATTGAAAAAAGTTGGAAAAAGGAATCAAAAAATTCTTTTGTGGCTAACTTTAAGGAATGTTTGAAGTGCTTGCAAATCTTTATCACGAAATCACATTGAGCAAGTTGTGGCAATAAAAAAAAATCAAAGCGCCAAAATGCATTTGAATGTAACATTTTCAGAGCATTGATTTTTTTACCACACCTTGCACCGATGTGATTTTGTGATGAACTTTTTCATACACTCCAAACATTCTTTATAGTTTACCACAGAAAATTCAGATTTTTTTGAATTTACTGTTCATCCAGGAGCCATTGAGCTCAAGAGGAAAAAGCTGCCCCCCACCCCCCGGAAAGTACGAATGGAAAAAGCCGCCCCCCGGAAAGTACGAATGGACTACGTTGCACGATGCGGTACGAAGTGGAGTTGGATCTTTATGCTCTTCCAAGTTATTAAAATCCAGGGCTTTGGAGCGGCCACGCACGCATGCATCTCATTCTCATGCATGCAAGGTTAATCAAAAAAGGAAGCAACACGTACAAGACACACTCCCTCGGTCCGAAATATTCGTCTGATAAATGGATGTATCTAGACATATTTTAGTTTTAGATACATTCATTTTTATCAATTTCTTAGACAAGTATTTTCGAACAAAGGAAGTATTATCCATAGAAGAGGAGACCAGCAAGCTAGTGTTAGCCCCTGCAGAGTCCAGATCAGCTCTCCGCACTCACATTGCACGATCAATAAAATCGACCACACATAAGTAAGGACTAGCAAAAGGCCCCGTGCGTTGCAACGGGAACATAAAACTCCCCCTCCATACCTCGTTCAGGTCCTCAATGTAACCATGTCGATGCTCTCCATCTTCTTGGGCTAGGCATAGTGTTAAAGCTTGATGCTCCTTCTTGACTGTTCTTGTGGTATTCAATAGTTTAACTGTTGTGATACACTACTAAATTTACCTAGTCAATTACTCATGCACTGCTGCAGAACGAAAAAAATGGATATTGAGTTTAGATTTGGTTCCGAATAATATTGTAGAATCACAAAAATGTCTTGTTCCGGGGTTTGTGTTTTCGTTGAGGGAG